CGTGGCGTCACCAGTTCCCGCAGGCCTCAGAGATCCCTCGCTGGGGCGAGCTGTCTAGGGCGGGTGTTGCCATCTTTGATCTTGACTTTGATGCTATTCTCTCTGCCATGTATGCTGTGTCTATTAGTGATGAGGGTGACTGTTACCGGTGTTTCCCGCCCGATCCGGGCATTGAGACTGCTGCTCTAGGTACTGGTGCGGCTACTGCCCTAGGTGCTTGCGACGCTGCTGCTCTAGGTGCTAGTGTGTCTGCGTCCTCAGGTACTGGTGAGTCTGCGCTCTCACGTACTACATCGGCTTCGGCCTCCCTCACCTTCACCCTTGACTCTGGGGCGTCTCGCTCCTTCTTTCGGGACCGCACCACCCTCACGCCGCTTATTCGGCCGGTTGCGGTGTCTCTAGCTGACCCCTCCGGGGGTCCTGTACTGTCTCGCTTCTCCACAGTCCTCCCGTGTCCGGCGGCTCCCTCTGGCACCCTGTCTGGTCTCTACCTCCCCTCGTTCTCGACGAACCTGGTGAGTGGTGCTGACCTCCAGGATGCGGGTGTCCACCAGTTCACTCCTGCGCGTCAACGAGTGACACACTGCACAGAGGCTAGCACAGGCCGACACCTGGCTACGTTCACCCGTCAGCCGGGGTCGAGCCTGTACACTCTGACCACTACGTCTCCTCCAGTTGCTGAGTCTGGTAGGGTAGCTGCGTCGGGTCAGGTGTTTGCTGCGGCGTCTAGGTCTGGTCCTGAGTCTGCCCCCTGTTCGTGTCGTCTCTTGTCTCACGAGACTCTCCTCTAGCACCACCGCCTTGGTCACCCCTCTCTGCTTCGGCTCAGAGGCATGGCCTCCCGTCTTCTTGTGTCTGGTCTCCCCCGGTCCCTCCCTCCCCTTCCTGAGGGCCCTGGCTCTGCCTGTGTCCCCTGTGTCGAGGGGCGCCAACGTGCTGCCCCTCACTCCTCCCAGTTTCCTTCGACAGAGGCTCAGTTGCAGACACTTCACATGGACGTGTGGGGCCCAGCCCGCGTCCGTGGACAGGGTAATGAGCGCTACTTCCTGCTCGTTGTTGACAACTACTCGCGTTACACCGCAGTCTTCCCCTTGCGCAGCAAGGCTGATGTCACTGCGGTGCTCATCGACTGGATCCGCGCAGCTTGTCTCCAGCTCAGGCAGAGCTTTGGCTCGGACTTTCCTGTTCTGCGTCTGCACTCGGACAGAGGCGGAGAGTTTTCCTCAGACCTTATGAGAGCCTACTGTCACACACGAGGCATCCATCAGACCTTCACGCTTCCAGACTCCCCGCAGCAAAATGGGATTGCTGAGCGCCGCATTGGCATGGTCATGGACGTCGCTTGTACGTCTATGATGCATGCGGATGCCCCCCGTTTTCTGTGGCCGTTTGCGGTGAGGTACGCGGCGCATCAGATAAACCTTCACTCCAGGGTCTCCAGGCCGGAGACCTCCCCAGCCTTGGTGTGGACGGAGAAGGTTGGCGATGCGTCGGCGTTCCGGGTCTGGGGATCTCGGGCGTTTGTCCGCGACTTGTCTGCGGACAAGCTGTCCCCTCGTGCTGCTCCTTGCGTCTTCCTGGGGTTCCCCCCTGACGCGCCTGGGTGGCAGTTCTACCACCCCACCTCTCGACGTGTTCTGTCCTCCAAGGACGTCACGTATGATGAGTCAGACCCTGCTACCGCCTCTTCCCCTACCGCACTCCATCCCTCCCCCCACCCCCGCTCTTCCTTGTACTAGGTCGCCCCCAGGTAGACCCCCTCCCCCTCAGGATCCTGCCCCTTCAGGTGTGTCCCAGGTAGACGCAATCGAGCCTGTCGAGGTCACTGGTGACTCTGGTGCTCCTGGGGGTGCTGAGCCTGGGGGTGCTGGACCTGGGGGTGCGGAGTCTGGGGGTGCTGAGCCTGGGGGTGCTGCGTCTGGGGGTGCTGAGCCTGGGGGTGCTGCGTCTGGGGGTGCTGAGCCTGGGGGTGCTTCGCCTTGGGGTGCTACGCCTGGGGGTGCTGAGCGTGGGGGTGCTACACCTGGGGGTGCTAAGCGTGGAGGTGCTCTGCCTGGAGGTTCTCCGGGTGCTTTGTCTCGCCGGGAGCCACTCTCTCCACACGAGCTGCGCTAGTGGTTTGCCCGGCGCTGGCGCCGTACAGCTGGTGCTGGAGGTTCTTCCGCTGCTCAGGGTGCTGCGGTCGCGGGTCCCGGAGGTGCTCGTACTGGGAGTACTGGAGCTGCTGGGCCTACGGGTTCGACTGGAGCTGATGCTGCTGAGGGGGTTGGCGCTGAGACTACCGCTGGCGGTCCTACTGGGGGTGCTCCTGGTGTTGCTGGAGGTTCTGGAGCTGCTGGAGGTGCTGCTGGAGCGGGTGCTCCTGCTGAGGGTTCTGGTGCTGTCCCTGCTGCTTCTGGCGTCGCCACGCGACCTCGCCCGCACTTTGTTCCACTCCTGCAGCAGGTTCTTGGTCTTCCACCTTCTACTGGTCCTCCTCCTCCCTTAGAGTGTCCACAGCCTGTCCCGTCCCAGTTACAGTTGCAGCTTTCCTCCCCTTTGCCTGCTCCTTCTCCCTAAACTGGTCCTACTGGAGGTCTTGCTGAGCGTCGTGAGCCTGCGTCCCGCCCTGCGTCACCTGTCCGTGCTGCTCGCACTAGTGGTCGCGGTTCGCGTCAGCGTCCTCCTCCTGTCCCTGGCACGCACCGGATGTCTCTGCGTCCGTCCACTACTCCTCTGCGTGCCCCTTTGCCTTCTCCTCCTGAGTCCTCTCTTCCTGCTCTTCCCGACCCGGAGTCGAACTCTCTTCGTGCTGCCAGTCCTACTGTCACGCGTCTCCTTGCTACTGTCGTCACTGACCCTTCTTTTGAGTCTACTGCTGCGTCTGCTCTGGTTGCTGAGCTCGTCGACTTTGCTGCTCGCTATCGCTTAGACTACGCTGCTAGTCTTGTCGCAGAGTTTGAGTCTGTCTGTCCTCCGTCCGTCGGGGGTGAGTGTGCTCTTGGCACGGACGTCCTTGAGGACAGGCAGGAGGAGTTCCAGTGTCTGGCAGCTGCTTCACCTCATCTCGTGTCCGTACTGCTTACCCCTGAGGGAGACCCGGATGCACTTGACATCCCGACTCCGCGCTCTTACGCGGAGGCGATAGAGGGTCCCTACTCCTCTCAGTGGCAGGCAGCTATGGATGCAGAGATGGCTTCTTGGAAGTCCACAGGCACCTACGTTGACGCTGTCCCCCCTCCTGGGGCGAACATCGTCAGTGGCATGTGGATCTTCAGGGTGAAGCGGCCGCCGGGTTTTCCGCCTGTCTTCACGGCGCATTACGTGGCTCGTGGCTTCAGTCAGCGGCAGGGAGTTGACTACTTTCAGACCTTCTCTCCCACCCCGAAGATGACCACTCTTTGGGTACTGCTGCACGTTGCTGCTCACCGTTACTACGAGCTGCACTCTCTCAACTTTCTTGCAGGGCAGCCTGCACAAGGAGATCTGGCTGCGTCGCCCACCTGGCTTCACTGGGTCTTTCCCTCCTGGTACCCAGTGGAGTCTCCGGCGTCCAGTCTACGATCTCCGCCAGGCGCCACGTGAGTGGCACGACACACTGAGGACTACGCTTGCGGCTCTTGGGTTTGCTCCTTCTACTGCCGACCCGTCGCTGTTTCTGCGCACCAACACCTCTTTGCCGCCGTTCTACATCCTCGTGTACGTCGACGACTTGGTCTTTGCCACAGCTGACTCTGTTGGACTCGCCTACGTGAAGTCCGAGCTGCAGAAGAGACACACGTGCACTGACCTGGGTGAACTGCGTAGCTACCTTGGCTTGCAGATCACCCGGGACAGAGCACGCCGCACCATTACCCTGACTCAGTCACACATGGTGCAGCAGGTCCTTCAGCGCTTCGGCTTCACGTACTCCTCGCCTCAGGCCACTCCTCTGTCTACTCGCCACTCACTCTCAGCTCTGCCTTCGGATGAGTTCGTAGAGTCGAGTGGCCCGTACCCAGAGCTTGTTGGCTGCCTCATGTACCTGATGACCTGCACACGACCTGACCTTGCATACCCTCTTAGCATTCTCGCACGCTATGTTGCTCCTGGGAGACACCGACCAGAGCACATGGCTGCAGCGAAGAGGGTGTTGCGCTACTTGTGCAGTACGTCGGGCATGGGGCTAGTGCTTGGAGGGCGGAGTCCAGTGGTCCTCACTGGGCACGCGGACGCTTCTTGGGCTGACGACCAGGCTACGCAGCGGTCGTCACAGGGTTACACCTTCAGCCTTGGTTCCGGCTCTGTTTCGTGGCGGGCTACTCGCTCGTCTTCTGTTCTCGGCTCCAGTTGTGAGGCTGAGATCTACGCCGGGGCCATGGCTGCACAGGAGCTTCGCTGGCTCACCTACCTGCTGACCGACCTTGGAGAGCAGCCTCGTTCTCCTCCAGTCCTGTACGTAGACAACAAGGCCATGTTGGCCTTGTGTCGAGAGCAGCGACTGGAGCACAGAACAAAGCACATTGCTCTCCGCTACTTCCTTGCTCGTGAGCTACAGCAGCGTGGACAGTTGCGGCTTGCGTACGTGGCCTCTGAGGCCAACACTGCTGATGTGTTCACCAGGGCACTTGCGCCTTGTGATCATCAGCGCTTCTGCACTCAGTTGGGTCTTGTGCCTGTCTTGCCTCACTTGCTCTCCTCTTGACCTTGCTTGTACTGTCACATATATATATACCTGCTCTTGCTTGTCTAGCTTTATATATATGTGTGTACTCTTGCATGTGAATTGGCCTTGTGGCCTTGTCGTTGTGCTCGGACTGTGTGGTGACTTTGTGATCCACCCTGAGCTTGCTTTGCTTTGCTTGACTGGTCTTGTGACCCCTTGTTCTCCCCCACTTTGCCTATGGGGGTGTGTTAGAACATTATATAGCTTATACATTTGTGTAGGCTATAGTGGGGTATCCCATAGGGGGTACAACAAAATTAGGGTTAGTACTTGTACTCACTCATTTCATAGTTCATTCATTCTCGTTCTAATTTCCTCAAGCCACTCCTCTGCGCAGAACCACGACCTGCTCCACCGCCACCTCCGCCGCCTCCGCCACCGCCGCCGCCTCCGCCACCACCGCCGCCTCCGCTCCCTCCGCCACCACCGCCGCCGCCTCTGCCTCCACTGCTGCCACCAGCACCCCCACTCCCACTATCACCCCCACTCCCTCCACCGCCTCCACCACTGCCTCCGCCGCCCCCGCCCGCTCCTCCAGCGCCCTTGCCCCCCTTGCCCTTGCACGCGCGGCGCTTCCCCGAAGGGGCAGACGCAGCGGCGACCGACTCAAAACCAACGAGGTCGGCCGCAGCAGCAGAAGCAACAGAGGGCAAGAGGGGGGAGGGAGAACACCCCTCAAAGACAGGGGTGCGGGGGTCACCACGAGAGGCCCCTACAGCGAGTATGCTCTTCTCCGCCGCTAGGAGGGCCTTCTCGAGGAGGTCAACGGTGAGAGTGGTGGGGCACACTGCGAGGAAGTGGTCTCTGACTACGCGAAGGGAGTCAGGGAGCTGGATGACTATGTAGTAGAGGGTGATATACATGGGGGGGGGGGGGTTCTTGGCGCAGAAATCAGCAGGAAGCGCAGCGCGGTAGCGAGTGTCACTAGTGCGGAGGTGCGTAATGAGGTCAGCGACTGTGGGAAAGGCAGCAAGGTCAGGGAAGAGGTACGGTAGCATGAGACGGCTCAGTGCAGCAGTGGCAGGGGAGGAGTAGCGTGCAACTACAGCGTCGTACAAGGTCTGAGCACTCTTGTACTGACTAAAGTGCGCACGCTCAGAGGTAGGGAGGTGGCGACGCACAGCAAGACGTGCAGCAGCATCGCGCGTGGCCCAGTGGGAGCGAACAGTGGCGTCAGCATCAGCAGCAGGGGCAGGAGAGGCACCAGAGGTGAGGTCAAAGAGGGAGAGACCGTCTGCCCTATCGCAGTGTAAGAAAAGATGCAGGTCATCTATCCAGACGTCAAAGTCAATGGCCCGACCCTCAGCGTCAAAAGCGAGGACTCTAGGGGTAGCCATGACAACAGTAGACTAGCAGTGCAAACAGTAGGGTAAGGGCAGTGCAGTGACAGAGACGCTGCTCTTACCGGACAGGGCTGCTCGGGCGGCTCGGCTGTAGGGCGGCTCTTCTGCTGGGCGGCTCGGCGGCTCGGCGGCTCGGCTGCACGGCGGCTCGGCTGCTGGGCGGCTGGGCGGCTCGGCTGCAGGGCGGCTCGGCGGCTCAGCGGCTCGGCTGCTTGGCGGCTCGGCTGCTGGGCGGCTGGGCGGCTCGGCTGCACGGCGGCTTGGCTGCTCGGATGCTGGGCGGCTCGGCGGTGCAGTTGCAGGGCGGCGCGACGGTCGGCTGCTCGGCAGGGTGAGACGGCTCGGGCTGCGCGGGTGGCGGGCAGCGCTGCAGCAGGCGACGACGCCTGCGCCGGTGCGGTGGCGGCGGGGCCGCAGGTAAGGGCGGCGGGGCCGCAGGTGAGGGCGGCGGGGCCGCAGGTAAGGGCGGCGGGGCCGCAGATAAGGGCGGCGGTGCCGCAGGTAGGTGGCAGGACCGCAGGTAGGTGGCGGGACTGCAGGTAAGGGCGGGGCCGCAGGTAAGGGCGGGGCCGCAGGTAAGGGCCGCGGGACCGCATGTAGGTGGAGGGGCCGCAGGTAAGGGCGGTACCGCAGGTACGGGCGGGACCGCAGGTAAGGGAGGGGCCGCAGGTAAGGGCGGCGGGACCGCAGATAGGTGGCGGGGCCGCAGGTAAGGGCGGGACCGCAGGTACGGGCGTGATCGCACGTAAGGGCGGGGCCGCAGGTAAGGGCGGCGGGACCGCAGGCAGGTGGCGGGGCCGCAGGTAAGGGCGGCGTCAGGGCTGCAGGGCGGCGCGAGGGCGGCAGGGTAGGCGCCGAGGCTGCAGGGCGGCGGATCGGGGCCGGGAAAGAGTGGCGCGCGGGCCGCGGGGTAGGCGACGAGGCCGTAGGGCGGCGCGGTCGGGGCCAGGAAGGGCGGCGCGCGGGTCGCAGGGTGGGCGACTAGGCCGCAAGGCGGCGGATCGGGGCCGGGAAAGGGCGGCGCGCGGGCCGTGGGGTAGGCGACGAGGCCGCTAGGGCGGCGCGACTGGGTCGAGAAAGGGGAGCGCGACTCGAGCTAGGGCTGAGCGCGCTCCGGGCAGGAAAAAAAAAAATTCGACTTGGTGGGCCCTAGGAACAGTTCCCACGAGGGAACCTGCTTGATACCATGAGAAAACTGAAACGAGAATGAATGAACTATGAATGAAGTGGGTACAAGTACTAACCCTAATTGGGTTGTACCCCCTATGGGATACCCCACTACAGCCTACACAACAGCATAAGCTATAATGTTCTGACAGAGCCGGAGCCGATGACAACACGTGTCAACACGATAACACTGACGAGGGCGATAAAACGGGGAGCGTGGGGCTACGCCGTACAGCTCTACGAGGTGGTTGTGTCCGAGAAAACCTCCGACATTGACACGCTCTACGCTGATGTACCAGACGACGTGGCGAACATAATTTGGGAGTATCCAAAAAAATCGTTGATGACCTGCCTGACGAGCTGCCACCTCAGCAACCAGAGGACTACAGGATTGAGTTGGAGCCAGGAGCGCACCCAACTATTCGGTCACAATGGCGGCTCAGTCAACCGGAGCTCGACGAGTTGTGGAAACAGCTGGATTATCTACTTTCAAAGAGTTTTATCCAGCCGAGCACGTCACCATACGCCACCCCGATACTGTTCACGCCGAAGAAGAACGGAGGCGTGCGCATGCGCACCGACTATCAAGTGCTGAATTGGATCACCATTAACTCGTGTTACCCGATTCCGCAAGTGGACGACATGCAGGATCAGCTTCGCGGGGCTCGCTTCTTTTCGAAAATCGATTTGCGGGGTGGCTACCATCAAATTCGCGTGTTCGCTGACGACCGCCCAAAGACTGCGTTCGTACCCGCTACGGCAGTTACGAGTATACTTTGATGCCGTTCGGGTTGACAAACACGCCCTCGACCTTCTAGCTCACCATGAACAGGGTGTTTCGTGTCATGCTGAACAAAAAGTCATCGTCTACCTCGACGACATTCTGGTGTACAGCAAGACTCAGGAGCAGCATTTACGGGATTTAGAGGAGGTGTTCCGGTGCTTGCAGCAGAACCAACTGATTACGAAGGGCTCTATGTGTGAGTTCCTACAGCCGGAGGTGGAGCTCCTGGGGCACGTGGTTTCAGGGGAGGGGAATTAAAATTGAACCTCGCAAAGTGACGGCAATTTCGGAGTGGAAGCCGCCGACGAACATCACAGAGTTGCAAAGTTCACTACATCTGCCGTTTTGTACCGAATATGGGGGGGGTGACCAGGCCGTTAACCGATCTTCTGCACAAGGGCGTGCAATTTCTTTGGGGGGAGAGAGAACAGTTGACCTTCAACAAGCTGAAGAAAATTTTGAGTTCACCCCCGGTACTTCGGCAGGCAGATCCATCTCGACTGTTCGAAGTCGTGACGGACGCCAGCGATTTTGTCGTCGGCGCCGTCCTTCTACAGGATTTCGGCAACGGGCTGCAACCCATCGCGTACGAATCACGGAAAATGCCGCCGCCCGAGCGCAACTACCCTGTACACGACAAACAAATGCTCGCCATCCTGCACGCGTTTCGTACCTGGCGCTGTTACCTCACGGGTGCCGACGTCATGATCAGGACAGACCACATGTCACTGCAGTACATGCGCAGCCAACCACAGCTCAACCTGCGACAAATCAGGTGGCTCGATTACCTCGAGTCAAACTTCTGCTATACCATCAAACGACAAAAAGGGCGCGAACAATATCGCCGACGCCCTGACCCGCCCATCAATGTAGACCGCAGCAGTACTAATCGCCCATTCTAACCCTTTATTGGCAGGACTATTCAAGCACGGCTACAGGACTGATCGTTTCTTCAGAACGAATCAACACCAACAGGTCACCACGGCACATGTGAGCTATTACCTAAAAGTCTGTACTAACCGAGTTTGGGTACCTTCCTACCGACCCTTACGAGACTTGCTGACGCAGGAGGTTCATGATTCCAACCTTTCCGGGCATTTTGGCGTCGACAAAACATTGAAGCTGCTGCAGCGGAATTACTACTGGCCCGACATGCCGTCGGACGTGCAGCACTATGTGTCCGCCTGCCCGACCTTCCAAGCGATGAAATCATCACGCCAACGCCCAGCGGGATTGCTGCAGCCCCTCGAGCCACGCGAACGACCATGGCAACATGTGACAATGGATTTCGTCACCGGACTGCCAGCTGGCGCAAGTGGCAACGACTCGGTGCTGGTCGTCGTTGACCGATTAACGAAGATGGCGCATTTCGTGCCATGCCGCACGATGATCACAGCCGAAGAAAGAGTGAAGCTTTTCATCTCCACCGACGTACGCCTACACGGGTTACGTTCGGCGATCATCAGCGATCGGGATCCAAAATTTAGGTCGAACTTCTGGCAGGATACATGCATCACAAAAACCCTATGCCAACTTTGGACGAATTTGGATTGGGATTGTCTTCGCATAAAAAAATCTGGACCCAATTTCGAGCGACGGTTGGAGTCATTTGATAGTAGCTCCAACACATATCTCGTGACAAGGTTTGGCCCAAGTCAAGTTCCAATTTGGCACCCGAGCTTTTCCGGATGACATTCGGGCGCAACCCGTTTTGGTGCAATTTCGATACCAAATAATTTAAAACTGGATTTTGGTTTTGTTTTATTTTTGGTATTGAGGATTTAAGAATTACATTCATTATTCCGGTTTACAACAACCATTATTCAGCATTCTAACAACCAGTAGTTTTAGCACCAGGTCAAATAGCCTACGCAATGCTAGGCCCTGCAATCGCACGGTGGGCAAGAACGACATCTCCAAGGTTGCCATCGGGAAGACGAACGCACCCTGAGCCGGATCGTGTGGGATCCGCCGCTCCACGACAGCGAAGTGTATCATCTATTTGACCTTGTCACACCACTCGAAGTAGTCCGGCCTGTATTGTTTCGGCTGGGCCGGAATTCGCTTGCGACGCTTATCCTGCATAAGGGGCCACTCGATCTGCAATGTGGTTTAGGGTTGGGTGGATGGAGTATGAGGGGGGGTTACGGGTAAATGAGCCTACTGAAAGCGGGTTTAGGGTTGCGGCACACCCTACATAACCGCAAACGCCTAAGCGACCAGGGATTTAGATGAAATACAGCCAAGGGGTTTAGGGGATGAGGCACGGGTGTACAGACACATATCTACATCTTTACCGAAAACAGGCCCCATGCCACCATGCGGCTCTTGAACTTGGTGAACACGACACCGCCCTTCTTGAAGGAGAGCTTGAACGCATAAGCAAACAAGGGGTTGCTGAAGGGCATTCCGGTGGTCTTGTCAAAGTGCCAGTTGAGGGCCCTCTGCTCTGCATTTTGGCACGGAGGGTATGGGTTGGAAAGGGGGTGCAGAAAAATCAAGTGGGAGGTGAGAGTCAGGGTGCGGAACATCGCACGGTTATTTGTAGTTGCCAACTGGCATATGGGCAGGGGGATATGGTGTGTTTGAGTCGCACATACCATCTCTGTACTCAGCCAGGAGTTCCTCGTCGGTGAACCACTTCTTTGGGTGTAGCTCAGTGGGCAGGCTATCCACTCCATTGGCGTAATCGGAGAGGCACATGCCGGCGTATGTTGCTGGCCTGAGGGTGTTGTTGATTGTTGACCCGGTTGATGACATCTGGTGGTTGAACACACCCATGGTTGACTTGTCGTTGTGCAACCACAGCAGCTTCATTGACTCGAGCCCTTCAGTAGACAAGTGTACAGCGAACGCCTCAAACACTTCCTTCGGTGCAGGGTAGTACTGGATTTTCTCTGGGGGGTTCAAAAACAGGAGCTGAGAGCACACTAAGAAGGCTTTGTTCTGCGCATGGGTGTGGGGTATACAACACGACATGGGGAGAGAGAAACCATCAGTTATGACAGTGGCCGCGTGACCACAGGATGGACTGTGTGAACTTTCCACGTCACACCCTCCAGCATCCGCCACGTCCACCAAACAGCCCCACGTGCCACGTCACACCCCCCTGCATCCGCCACGTCACACCCTCCTGCATCCGCCACGTACACCAACAACCAGCCCCCCGTGCCACGTCACACCCTCCCACCCCATGCCACGTCACCCCCCACCCACCTGACACACGTCGCCTTGTCATGCGCCGCTCCCGTGTACCATTCCAAACCGCCATGTCTGCCCCAACCCTCACATTCCGCCACGTCACACCCTTTTGCATCCGCCAAAACCCGCCCTACTTGCCGTCACACCCCCACCAAGAGCCACGTCACTCCCCACCCACCTGAAACGCCTCGCTGCGTCATGCGCCGCACACATGTACCCTTTTAAACAGCCACGTCATCCTAACACTCACCTTCCGCCACGTCACACCCACCTGCATCCGCCACGTCATCCCCAACCCTCACCTTCCGCCACATCACACCCTCCTGCATCCGCCACGTCCACCAAACAGCCCCATGTGCCACGTCACACCCTCCTGCATCCGCCACGTCCACCAACAACCAGCCCCCCGTGCCACGTCACACCCTCCCACCCCATGCCACGTCA